AACGATGAATTGAAATATCGTGGTGCGCTTAAACATATGAGGAATCCCGGCACGCTTCCATTGGAGTGGGAACGGTCAGCACTCACTGTTCATGTTCTTGAAGATGTTGAGGATGGGAAGGATCTGTCGGTAGTAGGGCACCAGAGTTTCTCCCACCGTGTCGCCGGACATCACCAGATGCTGCAGAACTTTCAGGGTGGTGCAGATCACCTGGCGGTTCCTCGTGTTCAGGGCATCTGGAAGGCAAAAATTGTATCGAGGTCAAAAAGCAAAAGGCTATAAAAGTTGGACCAACATTGGAATGCCAGTTCAGTCGTAAATGTTGGAATTTGATCAAACTGTTTTTTTTTCTTTTTCTTTGACTCCCAAAAGAAGGGCTCGTCCTCGAAAGACCTTACTCAAAGCCATGACACAATTAAGTCTGACAACGAAATAGGCTCACGTAAAGGTTGAGTTTTACTGTTTTTTTGTTGTTTTGTTGTTTGTTTTTTTACATTTATGACTGTATGCACGAGTACACTTCTTATACAAAAAAGAACGTTGGAAGAATGTTCAATGCTCATCTGTGACATGGTTTAAGATTGTAGAAGCACATCATTTGGGAAAAGTGATGCAATGTGAAAAGCAACTAACTGAAACTACATTTTAAGTTTATAAAACGAAATTTTAAATACTCTAATTCGAGTGAATTCTTTTTCATCTTGGGCAATTAATATCATACACGAGCTTTGGGGGTTCAGTTTTTTTCTGTACTCATGTACATCATTTGGGAATTGAAGTTTGCTTGACTTTATTTCACCATACTCAGTGACATTTTTTTTGTCATCCTGCACTCACAAAATATACCATATTTCAAAAAAACCTAAAGTTAAAACTAAAACTAATAAAACCGTAACTAAAACGAAGCATTTTTGAAAAATACAAATTAATAAAAAATTTTATATAATAATTTAAAAAAATAAAATAATAAAAACTACCTATAAAGAAAAATTCAAAACTATTATAAGCCTGTGAAAGACAGAGAAGCATGCTAATAATGTTTAAAAAAAAGCATCTGTACAATTTAGCAGGTTTCCTCTGGAATGAATTTCTATTACTTATGTTAACATTTTTTTTTTTTAAATCACACCCCTAATACTGATTCTTCCTCTAGCTAAAAGACAGAAAACACTCCCTTCCCATTTTCTTTCCATTTAGGAGAACGGCTTGTCTGCAATCACTGATACCAAATCCACTGGGGAAGCCAGAGCTAATAAGAGCCAATCACAAAGCTATTTTGGCCTTCAGCTGCACTTAACTCCATCTCCAGCTACCCTGGAGAACAAAAGGTGGCGGGAGAGTCAAAGGGTAGAAGAGATCACAGACGACCAACTCGGTGAAAGAAAGCAGGGAAAACATGAAAATGTCAGCGGGGGCGGGTTGGCACATAAAAGGATGTGACAGACAGAGAGAGCGACGGGTTGGAAAACAACCTTTAAGTGGCAAAAACTTACTTGCCTTTGTTGCTAAATATGTCCCGGAGTAATTACGATATTGGGCCCCATGTGGTGCAAAGACATTCTTGAAATTGTCTTGGCAGGCGGAATTAATCGCCATTTTGAGGGTTTTCACACACTCAAATATTCATCTTTGTTTTTGCGTACAGTACATCTCGTAAAAATTGAAGCTCAAAGGCTTTAAGCTCCAAAATTTGGTTTGACACTGGTATCTGAAATTCAGCCCCCGAAGCCAGTTTCACTTGGAAACATTTGGTCAGAGGAATGCTGCCATTACGTTTACATTTGGGTCGATTCCAGGGGTCCTTCAAAAGCAAACGTGTTTCAACTGCTACCAAATTTCAAGCGCATACACTCGGCAGACGAGTCGTACTGAATTTCATATCATTTTAGACTTCGTCATGAGGGTTAGTGGAGCAAGGCAGACGAGTTGGATGACTTGACAAAAAAAACAAAAAAAAAACCGAAAATTCAATGAATTCAAATTCCATCCACATAGCCAGAACGTAAATCTCTCTCTCTCTCTCTCTCTCTCTCTCTCTCTCTCTCTCTCTCTCTCTCTCTCTCTCTCTCTATATATATATGTTTTTATCATTGCATCAATTTGCACGGCAGTGGAACTGGATGGCTCATGAAAAACAAATCCATCTTGTCCACTTTAATTAATAATGTAGAGCGTCATCGAGGACAACATATGGCGGGAGACCAAACATTTCTCTTTGGAGAAACATTGCATTGTCATTTCCTGCACACCTCTGTGGAGAGAATCTGCTAGTGCATCAGATTGCTTGTGCATGCGTAAGGTGCACTTGCTGGAAACATATTACGGGAAAAAAAAAAGACAAAATAAACAGTCAGGTCAAAATCAGATAAATAAAACAGTACTAAAGCTAATAAAACATGTGTGTGAACATGGCAGTTGTCTAAAGAGACAATGTGAAATACTGTAGGTGGAAATATGTAGTCCGAGATGGAGTTGAGCGGGTTATAGCTTGCATCAATGGTGGATAATGTTTTGAAATTATTGATCACGTCACAAAAACCTGGCATTTGAACAGGGGGTGTGTATACTTTTTCTGCCAGCTCTGTGTGCCTGTGAGTGATTGCAACCAGTTTATAGTTTAGAGGCTCCAGTTTAACCGTGACCCTAGCGAGGCTAAGCACTACAGAGAATGTCTGGAAAGATTGATAAACGTGATTGTCTCATTTACAGGCGCTGTTTGACGACTCTTTGCAGTCATGGCCCAGCATGCCGACTGTAATCCTCAATGAGTGAAGACGAGCACGTCATTAATTAAGACTTGCAGGCGGGGAGCGTGGTGGCAATAAAGTCGCAAATCTCTGCCGTGCTGAGTCAAAGCCAGTAGATGTGAGGCGGCAAGTGAATGAGCCAAAGGTCAAATAGGTCAAGGTGCTGGAGGTCTACAAACTACTGCAAAGTGGATTTCGGGGGAGTTTATTTACTCAACTTCAGAAGGGAGGGTGCATCCATGATGTGGGAGTCCTTTATTTGTACGCAATGATTGGAATAATATAAAACCGAGTGGGTGGCAAAACCCCGCGGATCCACCATTGAAGTCTGCGAAAGATAATTACATTAATGGTTTCATCTCCCGACGGGAGAAAAAAAAAATTGATAAATGGCTTTTGGTTAAAACCATCTTTAGTACTACGCAGGGAAGTTCTTTACAGATTACATGCAACAAGATAGCTGCTGCTGTTTTGGTTGGCAAAGGGAATCAAATGGGCTTAGCGGTATTCTTTCACAGTGAGTGAATGACATAACTACCGTATTTTCCGCACTATAAGGCGCTTCGGAGTATAAGGCGGACCTTCAATGATTGGCCTATTTTAAAACGGTTTTCATATATTGGGCGCACCGCATTATACGGCGCATAGAATAGCCTTATAATCCGATGCGCCTGACATATGGATCAATATTATGATTTCTTGGCCGTAGTATTTTAAATGTTCTGTCAAGCGCTTTGTTGCAGCTGCAGCGGTTGTGAAAGCTTTATGTAAATAACTGTATTGTATTGTATTCCCTTTAGCGTAGCTCCATCCAGTGGATGCATAACGCAACCGCAGCCACTCTTGTAGCTTCTGCGCACTGTCGGCGGCTTTTGACGAAATTGAATGCTCGTAGGTGCGCCTTATGGAGCGGAAAATACACTCATTGAGAAGTGAAAGACTATCCTCTGTACGTGTCTCAATGGGTGCTGCTGTTTTGGTTAGCAATGGAGATCAACTAGGCTTACAAGTAAGAGCTTAAATGCCCCTGTCTGAACAATGGTGTCTATAAATAGATGTTTTGTTTTGTTTTTTAAGTTGATGACACATCCCCCAAACTAATTAAAGCAGGGCATCTATTTGAACAATGACTACTCTTTGAGGAAGTACACTGTCATCAGGATGCGCACAAAATTGCGGAGGGACCACACGTCATCATACGGGTCAAGGAACTAATCTGTTTTTGCTGGCAACGTATGGGCTCCACAGTTAACTCTTGCCTGCGTCTGAACAAAAATGGAATATTTGAGGGAGGCATTTATTTTCAATCCAGTATTTATTGATGAAACTTGAGGTAGATCTACGCTATTGTTTTTTCAGCTCAACACTGGGCAATTGTGAGTGACTGATTCCACTGCACTCCATGCCATCCCATCACCTCCTCCTCGATACCCCCCGCCCCCATCCCTCCCTCCCCTCCCGCCGGACGGACACGCGTGTAGATATCCGCCGTCACCGTGATAAGGTGGAATGTGCGATGAGAGGAGTTTGAAACCTACGTAACAAACAATAAAATTCTAATTACCAGTCAGCGCAAACAATTTTCCCTGCTGTGACATTTGGACCGCAGAACCGTTCAATTATTCATCAGCATTCTCGCTTTGCTGGAAGAGAGGTGGGGGAAAAAAAAAATGTCGAAAGCAGGGGGTGCAGGAGTGTACTGATGTATTATTGCTGCTATAAAACCTGTGACTGGACAAATCTGAATAGCATAATCGAGCATTCACGCCAGGCCCTGTTTCATATTTAGAATGGAACAAAAGTGTTGACGAACTACCATGAGGAAGGAGAAAAAAAAAAGATTTTCAAAAAAAATCCAAGGTGAATAAATCACCAACAAGAATGATGCTCCAAATTTGGATCAGCGCCAAATTACAACTTTGTAGAAGCACCTGCTACTGTTCACATGCTCGAATTGTGCCTTTAATGCATTATTCACAGTGAGCGTAATTATAACGGGTGAAAAAAAAACAAATAAATCTTGGATCCGCACCAAAATATATTTTCTTCCCATTCTTTACCCTCCAAAAAGTTTTGAGAAATTCGTTTTCGGAGCAAGTTTTTAAACTTGCAAACTAACAAATGGAAAAACAACCTCCTCGGTCGGTGTCCGAAATTGTTTATTTTCTCTCTTAAGGATAAACCCAGCCACTTGCTACATATATACAAATATGTTGAATATCCCATACGGTCACGTCGTGAAGCGACCGGACGTCAGGGTCAACGGGAACGGTATTTGTCATTCATGATGCTGTCTCTGCATCCCACAAGATCGTTCTTTAATATTGTGCATTTGAATTAATCTGCGAGACTCTTTACATGCTTCAGCGCTGCTGTTTTGGTTCGCAACAGAGCTCAAACATCCGTTTGTGAACAACAGATGAAGTGAAAGGGGATGAATTAAAGTTACAACCTAGTTTTACTTTTCACTCAGGAGAAAGGAGGCGTATGTGTGAAGAAGCTGGCTACACGGTAAAACATGTATGCACCTAATATCGTGCAGGGAGGGCAGAAACGTCAGAGTGACACTTTGACTTATACCCCCTAATTATTGCTACTTGGTCGTCCAAAATCAAATCAGTTGAAATTCTTCACCTGTTTAGCAATTTGCTTTTACCTGATTGGAAAAAGGCCCGATTAGAGGGAGGCGTGCATTTGTCTTCCGTAGATGATCTGTTGAGAACGGGGGGGAGGGGATGACTGATGGGATTGTGATTGTCTACCATCTTGCGTTTCAAGATTTGAAGGGAAACTTAACGACATAATCGCTGCTTTAAGGCTCAGGAAGGTGTACGGCGGCAGGGAAAGTGGAGTCTCGGAGAATTCATGATACTGTAACGTGAGGCGAGGAACGCTTCATTGTGTATTCCCACCGGGTGACCTGCATTCATCATCAAAATTCACCAGAGCCTGACACGACTTGGTGGCTGTGCAGATAAGAGTCTGGCAGCCACATTGAAGGTGTATTAACGTCAGCAGAGGAGGAAAAATATATACGTTGCCATTTTGGACTGGAGACAGCCTTTTTTTTTTTTTTTTGCTATCCTCCTTTTCCTCCCTTGTGATTAATCCGCACCAGGCACACGGATTGCTGCCTTGCAGATGGCGAAACAAGGCTTTTTTTTTTTTTTTAATAACCCAAAAGTTAATAAGGAGTGGGTCATTTAAAATTCCATTATCAGGGCAAAGTATAGCTTTTCACCAGCAGCGCTCACCTTTGCTCGGGCTCCCGAAATGTAAACGAGCAAAGCTGCTGAGGGCTTTCAATCCATAGACTAATGTGTGTGCAAAATGGGCGCATCCAGTGATCTGAATGTGTGAAAAAGATGGCACATTAGCTATTTTATGCCACATTAGAGAGCGCCGGGAACACACTGACTGTCACAATTCAGCGTTTCGTAATGGCTGTTGTTGAGTGATTTTTATGCCAGGTTTGTCCCTATCGTCGGTCTGACATCCAAAGATGGGACAAATAATCAACATTTTCTGGGTCTCTCTTTTTTGGAAAACGGCTGACGTTGAAAGTGTTAACCTGGGGAATTTTTGGAAAGGTATTACAGTGAAGCACAAATAGAAACATTTTGTTTTGTCATAAGCAGACATAGGAGCCAAATAATACTGAACCCTTTCTGGGACGGCGGTTACTACAGTGGACATCTTATCGTGTTATCAGATTACAAGGTGCATGGAAGGGTTAAAAGCACGGCATTTCAACAAAATTAAAGTGGAACCTGAGTTTACGAATACAAGCTGTTCCGAAGCTCGGTTCGCAAACCAAAACATACATGAACTGCTGGAACTTAGCATGACATAGCAAAGCTTCTGGCAGCCCAGTACAACCGTTGAATATCAGTGGCATACCCGATGATGCTAACTTAAATAGCATTTGGCCGAAAGCATAGCCGCTACTGGCTGATATGAAAAACCCCCGAAAAGCTCTCCAGTGAACAGCACGCTACTTCACGTGCACATCACAAGCCAACTGGCCGCGACATGAACACTATCCCGGGCTCACGGGGTGCTGCTACTTTACAGGCTGCCACTTTGAGAATGACACACCACTTGGCAGCGGTGTCCTGCAAAAGAAACATTTTGGGAGTGCTAAAAAAAGCTGAACCTCTTTGTCCACCCACGGTTTGTTGCCCGCCCTCCCCACGCGCTGTAGTTCCATAGTCTATTCTGAAGGTTCTCCACCTTGAGATGTGACCTTTCCCTCAGTCGGACGGCTCGAGTGTGTACACGTGGAAACGTGAAACAGGCGCACGCGGCAACGACACAGTTAAAAGAAGTAGGCGGCGCCATTCGCAGCAGATTATCGAGCGTGCTTTTAAAAGCCACTCGTTCCAGCTGACCCTCGTGATTTGCGTAAGAATAGGAAAAGGTACGACCGCTACCCCGTGAAGGGACCTCACGTGGCCGTTAGTGTGGTAAAGATAGAAAGTGTCGCAGTGTGAATGCATGAGACGGGGGAAATTAATTCCAGCCATAGTCGACACCTGCTGTTCGGTATTTGTGGACGAGAGCGCGTCGGCACGCAAATAGCAAAAATGTGCGCATAAGTGGCACACGCTGAAATGCGTTGGAAGAAAAAAACGTTTTTTTCTTTTTTTAACATGATCGGATAACGTCATGGAGGCGTTTAAAACGCTAATTGTGAAGACCACTAATTATGAAGACACTAACTGCTACAAGGAAAACAAAACTACAATGACTCATCATTAAAACAGAGGCGGTGAACAAAGACAAAACGTACCACGTGGCGCTCAACGGAGAGACGATGGTCGCGCAAAGATGATCACTCTGCCAAACAAAATGTTGAATTCGGATCTGCTTCAGACGAGAGCGGCCCGATTAAAGGGTAATGCCACATATCAAAACAGTGAATAATTGAAGAGAGAAATTCTACATTAAAGATGAGGTAAAATCTGTCAATCAGTCATGAAGAAATAATGATATTTACTACACAAAGTCAATTTGTAGCAAGATTCACTTTGAGCTAGGAACTAGGGCTGTATATTTTTGGACTTATAATTTGGTGATGCTTGTGACATCAGAGGAAGAGCACAAAAGTTGCTAATTTTCAGCAGATAGCTGAGAATTGCTTCCAAGGAAAAAGACGCAAATAGGTGAATGCATGAAGAGTGAAACTCAACGAGGTGAGTTAGTTCAGGTATGACAACTGGGAGTGGCCAAAAAGAAAGTACTGTATTTTTCAGACGCATTTTTTTTCATAATTTGGCTAGTCAGGTGATGTACACCAAGAGTATTTTCCAACTGCCAAAATAAATTAAAAGAAGAAATGGAAGAAGAATTAGCATTAGTCATGGCAACTAATGTGTGGGTTATCAATCGTTGAGCATGCGGTTTCCGCCCAAGGATTTTCTTTTTAGGGCACTAAAAGGCGCAAGAACTGAACAGGATTGAAACTTTGGCCACAATGTGACATAGGAGTCGAGCAAAGGTAAGCCATTTTAAATCAAAAGGGAAAACTTGCCCGTCGTTGCAAGCGGAAGTTTCATCCAACCAGAACTTGTTTGGAAATTCATTCTGTGACCCAAACATCACTCTGAGAGTGTGGATGTCGGGAGAAGCGTGCCCTTCTCCCAATTAATTGCCAAACGCAGCCCATGGTATAAACCAATCAGCATTTCATGTTTGAACTGCTTCCATCTCTACTGCCCGATGCATTATGCCCAAGCACTACTTTTTTGGGGCACTTTGTATAACCGAACGAGTTTTCGAATGTTCCGAGTGAAGCAGTGCACATGTGGAGTGTATCGCCAAACTCACCCACAAATAGGGGACGGTGATTTGGGGTGTGAATCCAAGCTATACCTTTTTTCTCCCCCAAATGCGACTTATACTCACGAGCAATATTTTTTTTTCTTTCTCATGTTGCATTTTTTTGACAACTTATACTCCCAGGCGACTTCACGTCCGAAAATTATGTACCTTAGTTCAGGAACCACTGGTGGAAATGGCAAAGTACCAGCCAGAAAAGGACATCCAAACCAAACTGGCTGACTGCCTGTACATTTCCCAGCATTTTTTCTTCTCTCCTCTAGGAGAAGTTTGTTCAGGAAGGAGAATGCCAGAAAATAACACCATTAAACCATAATGACAGACGACCTGTACTTCTTCCAGGGGCAACTTTCATTTCAGACCCCTTAAAATATGTATATTTACACCAGTACACATATAGTTGCGGAATGTAGTTGAACTTTTTTTTTTGAAAGCCTCAACGGGGATTCACTAAAGAGGTCAGGAGTACCTCTGTGCTTAAGCCATATAATAAAACCTCAAAGTATTGCCCCCCTCCCCTCACTCACTCTTGATGGGGATGATGAGCTGCGGAATGACTGGCTGAATCTTTGGTCCGCCGTGCTCCAGTAGGTCATGGATGCCCTGACGGGCAAAGAACTCGTAAGGGTGGGCAGTCTCGCATAAACCGTCGAAGAGCAGTGGTAGGAAATGGTGGTAGTCCAGCTTCTCGATCTCCACCTGGCGGGGTACATTTCGCAATTATAATACAGTACAGCGAAACTCAGTTCATCACAGGCAGTACATATCAGACGCAACGGCAACAAGAAACCGTAGCCATCTTTGAACACACCGAAAAGTGCAAGCATAAGCAAGCACAGATGAATTCAATTGTAAATGTGAGACATTTGTCAAGACCCACTGTTAGTTGCAGGCCACATTACACATAAACATATGTGCGACATATGCATACACTCTGGTTGGGGCCAGCTGTTCAGGATCACCACGCAGAGACATGTGGCCTTGTGTGAGCTGACACGCTAACACCTGCTTACACCATTTTTGCAACAGAGACAGAAAGAAAGGCGCAAGGAATAGAACAGAATAAGCCTTAATTAGCGCAGCGAGGGGGAAAGTCCAGCTTGACACCAGCGAAATGAACTGTTGCCCCACACGAGAATCAAAAATGCAACAATATCTATGTATGTATTCACAACATAAGGCAATAATACGGAGCATTACAAGAGCAGGATTTTATGTCGCAAAAAAAACTGTCAATAAATACTACACATGATGTTGTGAATGACAAACCCCTATATATTAAAAACAATTACAGAGCACATGCAGAGCTAAGTGACAATTTGTACATAAAAATATACAACAAAGTGAACGTGAAAGCAGCAAGAACAGTCGGCATCATTGTATGTAGCAATGAATAGTCTATCTATACACATTTGGTTGTATATTAATCTATAAACAGAATACTATACTATACTATGTGCTTACTTCAGAAATGAATTTGAAGATGACAGCAAGATGTCAGTAGCACTGTATAGGTTAATAAATAGTCCATACATAAGCAATCAGAGCTCCAGACTGAATAAAAATGAACAATAATGCAATAGCTAGCTAGCTAGCTAGATAGATAGATAGATAGATAGATAGATAGAGTATATATGAGGTATGAGCAGTTGAAAATAAAGAATGGCTACACACAATGAAGACAGCCAGCAACAGCTGCACCAAAGTCCTTGAACGCAGCACGAAGAAATAACCCAAAATGTTCAATGTGTCAGTTGGCCGTACAGTGGCTCGAGTTACCAAGTGTGTATTTTTAACGCGGCTTCAGCTGTGGTGCGGCGTCCCAGCGGCACGATTGTTGGGCGTGAGGGTTAGAGGTGGAAGGGCGGATGCTGCTTTTCGTGTGATGAAAGGCAATCCCTCTGCTGCAAAAGCAAATAGCCCCCCCAGCCCCCCCCGCCTCGGAGACCCAGAGGACAGCTGAAACAGCCACGCAGCCACACACACACACACACGCACACAAATACTTGCACATGCACACAAACAAACAAACACAAACACACACGCACACACACACACACACGCACACACACACACACACACACACACACACACACACACACACACACACACACACACACACACACACACACACAGCCTGCAGGTTCACACTGCTCCGTGCTCAAATGTCACCCAGGCAATGATGCTTTCAAGTCATTGGGACTTCAAAAGCAGGGCTAGAAATCCCCCCCCCCCCACCCCTCCCCACAAACCCCCTCCTTCCTTCCCACCGTGAGGGTAAACAAAAGAGATGACGGAAGGAGGCAGGATGGAGAGATGGCAAGATGGCGACACTGGCTGATTGCTTTGAGGCAATTTGCCGGCCAACCTTGACCTTTCCCTGCGCTTGGTCAAGATTGTCGTTGTGAGTCAGGACGAGAACAAAAGCAAACATGAGTCCACGTAGAAGAAGCGGCAAAGAGACGAGGCAAAAGCTGCAGTTCCACATTCCGTGCTACGGGGTGAACCTCCACGGCACGCAGGAAAGAATCTTATTTAGGACTTACTGCAAACAAACCAACAACAAAAACAAACAACACAATCATACGACCTGACTACATGAAACAGAAAGGCAGAATTTGGGGAGCTTTGGAATCTGAGAACACAGATTTGAGTTTCACTACAGACAAAAATGTAAACAATGACAACACGCAGTTTCACTGGGAATCTCTCCATGCATGCATGCGTGTGTGGAATCTGGTTCTTCAGTGTGAGTGGTGTGCAACACAAAGTATACTTCAGAATGCGACTTGAATTTCCTCCTCACCAACGAGGAGGAACAGACCAATTCATTGCCGGACGATTTATTCTATGAGCCACTTATCCTCACTTGGGTCGCCTGAACAATTTAATCAGCGGATATTCGCGTTTTTAAAATTGGCAAACATTTATTATTATTTTTTGCCCGCTGTTTTGTTTTTCACACATTACAGCATAGGGAAAAAAAGAATCGCATTCAATCCCCCGCCCAACCCCCAAAAAATTTAATTGGAAAAAAAAAACAAAAACAAAACATCTAATTACCGCAGGACAAAGTATTGCCAAAAAAATCCCCAAAAACTGTCATGTGTTCTGCCTGTAATTCATAAATGTATTGTTGAAAGCATTAATATGTTTTTAAAAAGTTATTTTAGTCATTGTATATAGATTTTTTTTTTGGTTAATTTGTCAATTAATTGGTTATCAGAATTTTACTCTGGCAAATGTCAGCATCAACAACTGTCTCAAAAAATCCAGATCAGTCTGGTCCTACCAATGAGTGGATCCTTGCTATTTGCCGGGGATTTAGACCAGCTTGCAAACTGCAAAAATGTGTGTAGAATTGACATCCATTGAAATCCAATTGAAAAAAAGAGGAAAAAAAAGAGGAAAAAATAAAAATATGTATTAAAAAATGTTCAGAAATATTGAAATATTTAGATATCTTTTTCTTTCTGTAAATATGAGAATCAGCGGGTGCCACACTGCAAGTATGGGGCGGTCCACTTGACTACATTTCAAAAACAAACAAATAAAAATGTTGTGGGTTTTTTTTGAGTGGCTGGAACAGATTCATGGTAGTTCAACTCATTTCAATGGGGAATGTTGACTGGATGTAGTGAATTATTTCAGAGCTTGGTGACGGAACAAATGAGTGTCATACACTTCTAAGTCAACATGCCACGATAAATTTTGAGTTTATTTTCCCCCGAAAATATTGTTTGAATTCCACTTTTAACGAGCTTGAAGGTGAGCTAGAGTTGGATGTACGAGCTTGTCTCAGCTAGCATGTTGTGAAGCTGCCAACCTATGGCAATAATTGCTCGGGCATCTTCTGAGGACGCCTCTGGAGTCGGCAAGGCTCTTGATCAAAATCACATAAACAATCCAATTAGGGAACACGCGCACATCAGCCCTGGCACGCGGACGCTCGGCAAACACCTTCACACGCGCTTAATCAACGGCGCTTGACGGCCTCGTCTTGTATCAGCTATCGATCGCTCGCTCCGGGTTTGTTTGTCTTCACATGCCTGCGTGTATCCCCCCCATTGGAGTCCAGGGGCGTCAATGGAAACGCCGCAGAGGCAGGTAGCAGCAATTAGCCCTCGGACACACAAACACCTGCAAGTCGACTGTGATCAGCGGGGAAGAATGCGAAGCGAGCCCTCGGCTTCGGGAAGGCAGGCCGTTGGCAGACACTGGAGAGCAGCAGGATGCCACTTTAAATACACAACGGCTTGGCGGGATTGTGTACAGAAGCATGTGCGAATGCGCGCGTGGGCGGGTGAAAATGCATCGCCTCGTCGCGTACTCGTATGTGTGTATGTGCGACCATGCGATAAGATGCCGCGCTGCTTTGCCACGGTGGGCGTGAGTCACGTCTGTTAGCAAGGCAGGCTATAGGGCAGTATTGAAAATGCAAAGAAAAACATGAGAAATGATGTGTGTGTTTGGGTGAGCGTGTTTTATTGGGTTTACTGCGTCTCTCGAGTGACTGCTGTCAAGAGAGCTAACTATTGAACGAGTGAGAACGTAACAGTTTCATATCATTCCAAACTCATTGGACAAAGGTTAGTCTGAAAAATGGCTTAAAAGATGATTTAATTCAAAGACTCTCACTAACCTCCACTAACAACCCAGGCTAAACTTAGCTTAGCTCCCCCCTGAAGTCTAACTCTTGTCTCTCAGTCGAGAGACAAGAGTCTTAAGCCACAAATGTGTCATGAAAAAAAAAAAAAAAAAACACAAATTCCACAGGACATAATGTTTCTATTTCCGTGATTAACTTCTTTTTCTTCTTGTGCTGACCGATGCTGAATGTTAAAAGTTTACCAAAAACATTACTTATGATGGTGACCGTTTGAACTGTTTCATTCACTTTCCATTATTTCCTAAGAAGAAAAAAAAAAACACCCCAACATGAAATCCTAACCCTCATATGCACTCCTACACTCAAGTGTGACATAAAAGGACACCTACAATGCATCGAAATAACACAACTCGGGCGAGGCACTAAAAATAAGACACGGATTCCCATCAGTCATCAGTGATATGTTCTTGAGAAAACACCGATGAGAAGCGCTGACACTTCTCCGAGTCACTTATTCTCTCAGCAAGTTCTCTTCCCGAACAGGGACCTGTGAGAACTAGATTCTACTATCAGTAGTTCTGTACATGTTTGACAGTTGTCGTTTGACGCCCAGCTGGAGCCCTGATTTCGAGTCTCTGCTAGAAGAGTGCACGGTAACTTGATTTGACTGGAAAAAAAAAAGCTTGATTCATGAGAGCCTGAAGAAAACGGTAAATAAAATCCTGATGTAGGTTATTATTATTTGTGCATGAAAGGGTTAAACTGCATTTTATTTTTATTTTTTATCTGCCAGGGAGAGTGAGGTGTATCAACCATGAGAAGTTATCGGGAGTCCAAGCCCTAAATCTTTGGTAAAGACCGTCTTGAAAATGCTTTAGTAAGAAATAAACGGGTGCAGACCGTTCCTGTGCATTGCCAAACAGATGAAACCGAATAGTTTGTGTTCTCTGCTCCCGTTCCTCAAAAAGAAATTCTTCCAGCGTCGGCTGTGTATTAAGCAAGCACTTTTAAGGCTGCATGACTTTGCTGCGGGCTTGATCTTTGCAGACGAGTGCCGCATTTACACAAACTGTCATAAAAACTACGATTA